CACACACACACACACACACACACACACACACACACACACGGTCCGATAACATCGCCTCGCCCCCGCACCGCAGCCCCGTGCCACCGCTCCACAGTCCCCGCAGCCCCATGCGACGCCCACTCCGACGTATCCCCGCTGTCGATCTTCTTCACGAGGGAACGCTCGGATAAGCTCCCCTCCCCCCTGCACGGCAGCCCCGCGCTACCCACGGCTGGACTGCGACTGGACCGCCACTGGAGCGCGCGTGTCCAGTAGTCGCCACGGTCCACGCAGTCCGCAGTCGCCTCGTTCGATCCGACGCCCTCCAGTCACACTCCGCGCTCCAGTCCTGCCCCCCGATTCCCGTTCGCCAACCGGCACCAACTTTCCTTTTGGCCCAGCGGGAAGCCTCACGCTGGGCCAGAGTCTTTAAGAGTATAGGGACAACAACGAAGACAGGGACCCAGTTCCCAGCCTTTAATTGAATCCGTCAAAGTCGCGGCTTTCTGTTTTTTTTTTGTTTTTTTTTTTTGTTTTTTGTTTGTTTGGTGGTAACTAAATCACCCCCTTTCTCTCTCTCTTTTTTCTTCCTTCCCTCCCCCCCAAAGAAACAGTAGTTTTATTAGGACCCAGTGCCCAAGGCAGAAGTACAATGTCAAAGAGCTGCAGACTCAGGGGTCGCAAGGTCTCCAAACTCGCTTCATCGGGTGGAGCCCCTCCCCTGTAGAAAGCCACTGTCTTCCAAAAGAAAAGCTACCAAATCCCCGATACCCGTACTCGAAAACACATCAAAAAAACACCACAGCGAAAATCCTTATTAGAGTTTCAAATTTCAATCAATTAATTTCCAAATCCTTTTTTTTTTTTTTAAATTAATTTCTAAATCCTAATTAAAGTTTCTACTAATTTGTAGGTCCCAATACCCACCCTAACTCTAATGAACCCGAAATGGCTAAATTACACGTGAAACAGTTTTTATTTGGGGCTCAGTACAATGCCCTATTTAAAGTCGCCAGCAATTCCACTAAAAAATAAAATTCAAAAAAATAAAAGTCCTCTTTTTTTTTTTTTTTTTT